TTCTGTAATTTGTAAAGTGTGAATTTTGTGATCATTAAAATGAAAATAGATTATTCTAGTCAGATATCAAATTGGCGTATGTATTACATAAAATGTATAGCATAAAAGGCATTATTATGCTAGTAAAAATTATGGCTGAACAAAGAGCTCTAGCAGAGAATGACTCAAGTAGGAGAAGTTTATAATTTTCCTGTTGGGTCAAGGACAGAATGGGTTTTTGGGTTGGCTTTGACTATCCATCTCAGGAAGAGATACAGGCTCTGCTGTCCTTGATCCATGAAGTCTGAAGAGTTTTCCTTATAGCTATTCACAGTAAATAAGAGAGAAAAATAATGTCAAGTTTCTTTTATGTAAGTGAGATTAGAATTTTACAAACACAGATTAGAGTTTTACCAATATTGTCCATGTGACAGTTCTGACTGTTGTCAAATCTCCTGGCCTGGAGAGTTTTGTATATGGAAAAATAGAATGTTGAGTTGAGTTAATAGATATTGCTACTATGATAATTCCCAGAATATATGAACAATTTATTTTTCTTTTTTATTTTTGTCATAATCTCTACTTGCAAAATTTCTAGTAATATACTAATTGTTTTGTGGATATACTTTATTTTTTAAAAAATATTTGGTATGATTTTTCTGGAAAATCAAGCAGGAAAGGCAGAGTTCTTAGTAATTCACTTATAATTTTCAGTTATTACACAGAAACTTGTTAACACAAGTCTGTGCTTGATACACATTTGTGTTTTACTGATGTCTTTCACAGAACGGAATTCAATGTTATAGCGTATTTGGGTCTTTTTCTGCTGAGAATGCCTAAGTGTATTCTTCTTCCAGTAGGTATGACCTTATTTGGCATCAAGGTATCCAGAAAACTATTTTCCAATACAAAGGGACCAGAATTCCATGGTGAAATTCTAGAGTCTAGGGCTAGTACAGGAAATATTGAGGATTAGTGAGAAGGATTCAGAAGGGACTTTACTAGAAGAATGAAGCATGGTGCAAAGTGAGTACAAATTCAACATTTGAATGTAAGGTAAAAAGTTATGCTCTTAATTGAAAAAGTTCACCAAGTCTCATGTGGTAATTCTGAACAAAAATAAGGATTATAACTTCAAGTGTGAAGAAGTAATAAAGATTTTATGTTACTATGAAAGTACTGTCAAACAAATAAATTGAAGAAGAACCCTTGTTTTCCAAGCAGAATTTCTGTTGATACCATATCTGTGATCTAAAGAATTGGGTAGACTATAAGTACAAATACATTACTGTACACAGAATGTGAAATGAAAATTTCCCATAGGGAATATTACATTGAAAGCAGAAAGTGAGTTTATATTTTATAACCTAGATAGACATTGCAGCATATAGGGAACCAGAATCATCATTCACAGTGATAGATTATGTTTCTATTGTGGACCCTTCATGGAATTTGAAGGCATGCCTTTCAACTTTCATCACCAAAAATTATAATCACAGCATAATTATGACAATAATATATTATGATATATTTTCCTATGCTGAAAAACATAGTCAATAAATACAAATGAAAATAATTTGATTAAAATTATTGTTCATATCAGATTTATTACTCATTTTCTCCCTGCTTGGCATATAGTGTACTAAAAGAGATGTGTTAAAGTTCCAAGTAGTAATAGTTGGCATGTTTTCCCTCCAAGTTCTAGCTTATCCTTATTGATCATTAATGATGTATTTTGTATCTATTATACATACATATATATATATATATATACATACACACCAAAGTTTATTTTGCTCTCTTGAATGTTTCTCTTTTATTTTCAATTGTTTATTGTTATCTGTGATTCCCCAATTTTTTTCTAAAGCCTGTTTCTTTGCATATTGATATATGTGTGAAACTTTTATTTTGGATCTTTCTCTGTTAACTTAAAGGATGTTTGCATGGATATTGTTCATATATGTCTGGTGTTTTTCACCTTAGAAGAGGTCCTGGATTTTTAAAGGAGAATATACTACTGTAGATTTGTTAGCATACAGTTTTAATGATAACAACTCCAACTTTAAATAATGCTATGCAGCATCAAGTTATGATAGGTGTTTTATATTAATGCATTTTCCAATCCTCTTTACACATAATATCCAACATCATCCTCCCAAGGAAAACAACATAGTTACCATTTGGCAATACACTAATAATTACATTACCATATTCTTTTACTGAATTTTCAGTCATTTGTATTAATTAAAAATAAAAAAATATAGGTAGACATTATCTGGAGAGAGAATCTAAACTGAAGGTTTTCAATAGGGTCTTTACCCTTGGAGATCTGGGAAGTCAGTGAAAGAGTGGAAAGAAAGACTGTAAGACTCAGAGGGAAAAAGACAGCAGGAGAAAATGATCCACTGAATCAATTATGCAGGGCTCACATAGGCACACAGAGACAGAAATGACAAGAACAGGGCTTGCATTAGTCTTTTCCAGGACTTCTACATATGTTATGGCTGTGAGCTTGATGTTTTTGTGGTTCTCCTAACAGTCGTTGAAGGTTTATCTTTGACTCTTTTGCTGACTCTTGAAATTCTTCCTGCTTTTTTGTTGCTTTGTCTAACCACACTATAAGAACTTTCTCCTTGTCTTATTGTACCTTAGTTTGTCCTGACTTGCTTTTCTCTCTTGGAGTCCTGCTATATTCTGAAGAGGAAATGGGGAGGAGTAGATCTGGGGAAGTAGTAGAAGCTGTGAGGACAGAGCAAGGAGAAACTTTGTTTGGAATGTCTTATATGAGAGAAGGATCTATTTTGAATAATAAGAAGATTAAGAAAAGTAAATGTTTTATTTCTGCTGTCATAATTCTATCCCTAGTTTTCTCCTTCGTATTATATAAGGGTTTCTTAACTAGCTTCCTTTTTGAAGGACTTTAAACAGTAAACAACAAAAATTTTCTAATCAAGAATTTTCTTACACAGGGCGGTGGTGGTGCACACCTTTCATTCTTTAGTCCCAGTACTCGGGAGGCAGAGGCATGTGAATCTAGGTGATTTTGAGGGCAGGCTAGTCTACAGAGTGAGTTCCAGGACAGGCTTGACAGCTAAAGTGAAACCCTATCTCAACAAACCCCAAAGTATAATAATTAAATGAATAAAAATAAAAAGAAGAAGAAGAAGAAGAAGAAGAAGAAGAAGAAGAAGAAGAAGAAGAAGAAGAAGGAGAAGAATTTTCTCAGTTTTTGTTAGAGAGTTTTAAAAAGGTGTCAGTCAATTTAGTGTTTAGTGAAAATCCCTTATTTTGTTCACAGATTTCAAAGGGAAATTTAGTTGAGAAATGTAGAAGGAGCAGCGGGCCGTATTCCCGCCACACGGCTCCCGGCTAGTTTACACCCGAAATAATTACAAGGAAACTGTATTCATTTAAACACTGCCTGGCCCATTATCTGTAGCCTCTTATTGGCTAACTCTCACTTCTTGATTAACCAATATCTAATAATCTGTAAACTACCACGAGGTTGTGGCTTATCAGCATGAAGATAGCCAGCTTCCATCTCGGGAAGGTTAATCATGGCATCTGCCTCACTTCCCTTTTTCCCAGCATTCTATTCTGTCTACTCCACCCACCTATGTTCTTACCTATCAGGCAAAGCAGTTTCTTTATTAACCAATGAAAGTAACACATAGACAGATGACCCTCCTTCATCATTGAATTTTTTTTACTAAATTTTGAATTTTCTAATATGCATGGCATTCAAATAGCATATTAACCTTGTTTGATTTGCTTCTTTGTTTCCAATATATTTTTATTCAGACTATATTTTAAAAATATCTTTTTTCATTTCATTTTCTGAAACTTGAATTTGACATACCTATATGTCTTAGGTCAATAGTGCTGTTGTAAAAATATAGCATAAGACAGTGGGCTTATAAATTATAGCAAGCAATTTCTCTTAGTACTGAAGAATTACAAGATCAAGGTGTCAGTCAATTTACTGTTTAGTGAAGATCTTGTTTTTGACTCTCAGAAGGTAACTTCTCATTGTATTATCACAGAATATAAGTAATAATACACGTCATTCTGATGAATCTTATCAAGATACTACTATCCATAGTCTGTCTTTTGTCTTCAACCCTTCTCAAGGGAAGACATGAATCTTGTGGGGGACAAAACAATCAGGATTAGAAATTTTGGTTTCTACCCTATACTAATCTCTGAGATCCTAGAAATTTGAATTTGTATTTGTTTCTATTTTGGGGTGTATTTCTTGGAATTATTATTTCATGTTTATGTTTTCCCTCTTAAGTTATAGCTTTGAAATTGTTTAAAGTTATATAGATTTTCTGTAGCTGCAAGCACAAAATATACAAGCTGTATCTCTCAATGATCATGTTTTATTAGGAATAGAAATTTATTTTTCTAGAAATTCTCAAAGGTAGGGACTTGAGATAAAGGTTTTACTATTGCTTTCATCCTTTTATCAGCCAAACCAATGACTTAACAGACTTTATGTTTTGCATTTCATTTTTCTCTCTCTGTCTCTCTGTCTCTCCCCTCTCTCTACCTATCTGTCTCAGGCACACTTATGCCAATGTGAACCCCTAAAGAACACAGAACCACTTTGTGTAACAGGTTTTTGACTTCCATCTTTGCATGGGGATTGAAATCAGGATGCCTTGCTAAGCCAGGCAAGCTTACTGAATGCTTTATTGTTAGCCATTACATATATTTAAAAGCACATATTTTACTATCTTTTTTTTTTTTACAAAGCAACATTTTACTTTTGTTGTGATTAAAAAAAAGTCACATTTTACAGATAAAATGTAGAACCCTGAAATACTGACACATTCTCTTATCGTGCACAATGCTGAGGTTCTCTTACGATTCACTTTAAAACTGCAATTAAAAATGTACAAAAAAGAAAAGAAAAAAAATCAACCCACAAAGCTTCTAAAAAAAGGAACCCGCAGGCACTTCCTCTTGTGGAATGTTTAAAAAGTTAGCCTACTAAAGAAAACAGTCGACTTCTTGTGAAGGTTTTGGAGAAATATGTATCAGTTCGTTTTATTTGGGTATTCAATAATATCCTTGGTGATAATGCTGACTCCATGGCTTCTGACCCCAGAATTGACCCTGCTGCCACTGGTTGTAGCCCTGAGATTGGTTTTTGTAGCCACGATTGTTTCCTCGTCCTCTGAAGTTCTGGTTATAGTTCCCTCTGTTGGGCATTCCACCTCTGTTGTAATTCCCTCTGTTTGAGTAACCACCTCGGCCAGGAAAAACAGGGCCACGGGGGTATGGATAGCCTATTCCACCACTTCCACCACCGCCACCTCTCTGTGGCATATTGCCTCTCCTATTATATCCGCCACGATTCCCAGGAGCTCCACCTCTGAAATTGCCACCTCGCATATTGAATCCTCCACGTCCTCTATGGCCACCACCTCTGTTGAACTGGTTCTTGCCACTCTTATTTTTATTGCTCTTCTTTGAGCCAGTGTTTTGCTTCTTTTCTGGTGGGAGCGCCTTTTTGCTTTCTTCTTTATATTGCTCCAAAAGCTTTTGGGCTTCCTCCTTCTGAAGTTCAACATAGGTTATTTCATCAAAGCATTCAGCAAACTCTGGCAGGGTGAAGTTTCCTTTCATTTTAAGGACAGCATGTTCTGGGAGGTCTTTCCCCTCTACTTCTGCTTTCTTCTGTGTCCTCTGCTTATAGTCTTCATCTTTTGGGCAAACGACAACAGCTTTCCGCTGGAAGCCTGCAAACAGGCACATTTTCCTCCGCTGGGCAGCAGCAGACACATTTGTCTGATCCAGAATAAAATTCCGCTTCTTAGCCGTCCTTCGCCAGAGGAAGGATCTATGGTGATAAGCAAAATATACATCAGTATGGTCATGGGCCACGGCCGATTCAGGCACCCTCTCCTCTGTCCAGAGAGCAATCAGGGGGATTTCTCCTTGGACCTGGGATCCCATATATAATCAAGTCTCCTGTAAACCCTAAAATGGCTCCCTTAGTTGAAATATATTGTTCCCTGATCCCATATTCATCCTACCTCCCTCCCGCCCCATCCCCGGCCACCAAGCTTTCCCCGTTCCTCCCCTACTCCCTTCTCTCTAGTCCTCTCCCCCTCCATCGACCCTCCCACCCCCCTATGCACCCGAGGTTACCTGGGACTCATGTATATTTCCTACCTCCTGGTGGATAGCTAAATAATCTTCATCAGGTTCATCTTCTTATTTAGCTTCTCTAGGATCACGAATAATAGGCTCAAAGACCTTTAATTATGGTTAGAATCCACTTATGAGTGAATACATACCGTGTTCCTCTTTTTGGGTCTGGCTTACCTCACTCAGAAAAGCGTTTTCTATTTCCATCCATTTGCATGCAAAATTCAAGATGTCATTGTTTTTTACCGCCGAGTAAAACTCTAATGTATATATGTTCCACACCTTTTTTAACCATTCTTCTATTGAGGGGCACCTAGGCTGTTTCCATGATCTGGCTATTACAAATAGTGCAGCTATGAACATAGTAGAACAAATGCTTTTGTAGTATGTTAGGGAATCTTTAGGGTATATTCCCAAGAGTGGTATTGCTGGGTCCTGAGGGAGGTTGACTCCCAGTTTCCTGAGAAACCGCCACACTGCTTTCCACAGTGGCTGCACGAGTTTGCATTCCCACCAACAATGGATGAGTGTTCCCCTCACCCCACATCCTCTCCAGCATAGGCTATCATTGGTGTTTTTGACTTTAGCTATTCTGACAGGTGTAAGATGGTATCTCAAAGTGGTTTTTATTTGCATTTCCCTGATCGCTAGGGAGGTTGAGCATGACCTTAAGTGTCTTCTGGCCATTCGAAGTTCATCTGTTGTGAATTCTCTGTTAAGTTCAGTACCCCATTTTTTAATTGGGTTAATTAGAGTTTTAGTGCCTAGTTTCTTGAGTTCTTTGTATATTTTGGAGATCAGACCTTTGTCTGATGAGGGGTTGGTGAAGATCTTCTCCCAATCAGAAGGCAGCCTTTTTGTCCTACTGACAGTGTCCTTTGCTTTACAGAAGCTTCCCAGTTTCAGTAGATCCCATTTATTCATTGTTTCTCTAATTGTCTGTGCTGCTGGGGTCCTACTTAGGAAGAGGCCTCCTGTGCCTAAATCTTGTAGACTACTTCCCACTTTCTCTTCTATCAGGTTCAAAGTGGACGGATTAATGTTGATGTCTTTAATCCATTTGGACTTAATTTTTGTGCATGGTGATAGATATGGATCTACTTTCATTTTTTTACAGGTTGACATCCAGTTATGCCAGCACCATTTGTTAAAGATGCTTTCCTTCTTCCATTGTATACCTTTAGCTCCCTTGTCGAAAATTAGGTGTTCATAAGTTTGTGGGTTAATATCTGGGTCTTCTATTCGATTCCATAAGTCGACTTCTCTGTTCTTATGCCAATACCAAGCTGTTTTCAATACTGTAGCTCTATAATAGAGTTTGAAGTCAGGGATGGTAATGCCTCCAGAAGTTCTTTTATTGTATAAGATTGTTTTGGCTATCCTGGGTTTTTTGTTTTGCCATATAAACTTGATTATTGTTCTCTCAAGGTCTGTGAAGAAGTTTGATGGGATTTTGATGGGGATTGCATTGAATCTATAGCTTGCTTTTGGTAGAATTGCCATTTTTACTATGTTGATTCTCCCAATCCAAGAGCAGGGGAGGTCTTTCCATTTTCTGGTATCCTCCTCAATTTCTTTCTTCAAAGACTTAAAGTTCTTGTCAAATAGGTCTTTCACTTCCTTGGTTAGAGTAACCCCAAGATATTTTATGCTATTTGTGGCTATCATGAAGCGTGATGCTTCTCTGATTTCCCTCTCTGCTTCTTTATCCTTTGTGTATAGGAGGGCCACTGATTTTTTGGAGTTGATCTTGTATCCTGCCACGTTACTAAAGGTGTTTATCAGCTGTAGGAGTTCTTTGGTAGAGTTTTTGGGGTCGCTTATGTACACTATCATATCGTCAGCAAATAACGAAAGTTTAACTTCATCCTTTCCAATTCGAATCCCCTTGATCCCCTTATGTTGTCTTATTGCTATTGCTAGAACTTCAAGCACTATATTGAAGAGGTATGGAGAGAGTGGACAGCCTTGTCGTGTTCCTGATTTTAGTGGAAAGGCTTTTCGTTTCTCTCCATTCAGTTTGATGTTAGCTGTATATTGCTTTTATTATATTTAGGTATGATCCTTGTATCCCCAGTCTCTCCAACACCTTTATCATAAATGGGTGTTGAATTTTGTCAAATGCTTTTTCAGCATCTAGTGAGATGATCATATGGTTTTTTTCTTTCAGTTTATTTATATGATGGATTGCATTGATAGATTTGCGTATGTTGAACCAGCCCTGCATCTCTGGAATGAAGCCGACTTGATCATAATGGATAATTTTTCTAATGTGCTCTTGGATTCGGTTTGCCAGTATTTTATTGAGAATTTTCGCGTCGAAGTTCATGAGTGAGATTGGCCTGTAATTCTCTTTCTTGGTTGTGTCTTTGTGTGGTTTTGGTATTAGGGTAACTGTAGCTTCATAAAAGGAGTTAGGCAGTGACTCTTCTGTTTCTATATTGTGGAATACATTAAGGAGTATAGGTATTAGCTCTTCCTGAAAGTTCTGGTAGAATTCTGCATTGAAACCATCTGGTCCTGGGCTTTTTTTGGTAGTAAGATTTTTGATAACAGCTTCTAGTTCTTCACGACTAACAGGTCTATTTAGATTGTTCACCTGGTCTTGGTTCAACTATGGTATATGGTACTTATCTAAAAAAATGTCCATTTCTTTTACATTTTCCAACTTTGTGGCATATAAACTTTCGTAGTAAGATCTAATGATTCTCTGAATTTCCTCTGTGTCTGTGGTTATGTCCCCCTTTTCATTTCTGATCCTATTAATTTGCAAGTTCTCTCTCTGCCGTTTGATTAGTTTGGATAGGGGTTTGTCAATCTTGTTAATTTTCTCCAAGAACCAGCTTTTTGCTTCATTGATTCTTTGAATTGTTTTCTGTGTTTCTATTTTGTTGATTTCAGCCCTCAGTTTGATTATTTCCAGTCTTCTACTCCTCCTGGGTAAATCAGCTTCTTTTTTTTCTAGAGCTTTCAAGTGTGTTGTTAAGTCTCCAATGTGTGCTTTCTCTGTTTTCTTTAGGTGGGCACTTAGTGCTATGAACTTTCCTCTTAGCACTGCTTTCATAGTGTCCCATAGGTTTGAATACGTTGTGTCTTTGTTTTCATTATATTCAAGGAAGACTTTAATTTCTTTCTTTATTTCTTCCTTGACCCAGGGGTGATTTAGTAGTTGACTGTTCAACTTCCATGAGTTTGTTGGCTTCCTGGGGGTACCATTGTTGTTGAATTCTAATTTTAATCCATGGTGATCTGACAAGACACAGGTGGTCACTAATATTTTTTTGTATCTTTGGAAGTTTGCTTTGTTACCAAGTATGTGGTCAATTTTCGAGAAGGTTCCATGAGCTGCAGAGAAGAAGGTATACTCTTTCCTATTTGGGTGGAGTGTTCTATAGATGTCTGTTAAGTCCATTTGATTCAGTACCTCCAGTAAATCTCTTATTTCTCTGTTAGGTTTCTGTCTGTTTGACCTGTCCATTGGTGAGAGAGGAGTGTTGAAGTCTCCTACTATTAGTGTGTGTGGTTTGATGACTGCCTTGAGTTCTAGAAGAGTTTCTTTTACATATGTGGGTGCCTTTATATTAGGGGCATAGATATTCAAGATTGAAACTTCTTCCTGATGAATTGTTCCTGTTATGAGTATGAAATGTCCATCTCCATCTCTTCTGATTGATTTTAGTTTGAAGTCGATTTTGTTAGATATTAGAATGGCCACACCCGCTTGTTTCTTAGGTCCATTTGCTTGGAAAACCTTTTCCCAACCCTTTACTCTGAGTAGGTGTCTGTCTTTGTGGTTGAGGTGTGTTTCTTGTAGACAGCAGAATGTTGGATCCTGTTTTCGTATCCAATCTCTAAGTCTGTGCCTCTTTATAGGTGAGTTGAGACCATTGATATTAAGTGATATTAATGACCAGTGATCGATGAATCTGGTCATTTTTTTGGGTAGTAGCGTGTATGTGTTTTCCTTCTTTGAGTTGTGCTTGTGAAGGGTCGCTAGATGTCTGAGTTAATGTAGGCAGTGTTGGGAATGTTGGATTCCTTGGGTTGTGATTTTCCTTCTAGTATTCTCTGTAAGGCTGGATTTGTAGCTACGTATTGTTTAAAATTGTTTTTATCCTGGAATATTTTGTTTTCTCCGTTGATAGTGAATGATAGCTTGGCTGGGTAAAGTAGTCTGGGTTTGCATCCATTGTCTCTTAGTTTCTGCAGTACCTCTATCCAGGACCTTCTGGCTTTCATGGTTTCCATCGAGAAGTCTGGTGTAAGTCTGATAGGTTTACCTTTATAAGTTACTTGACCTTTTTCCTTTGCAGCTCTCAATATCCTTTCTTTAGTCTGAATGCTTTGTGTTTTGATTATTATATGACGAGGGGATGTTTTTTTCTGATCCAGTCTATTCGGTGTTCTGTATGCTTCTTGAACCTTCATAGGAATATCGTTCTTTAGGATGGGAAAGTTTTCTTCTATAATTTTGTTGAGTATATTTTCTGGACCTTTGAAATGCAATTCTTCTCCTTCTTCTACTCCTATTATTCTTAGATTTGGTTTTTTTATTGTGTCCCACAGTTCCTGAATGTTTTGTGATGAGAATTTGTTGGATTTGCTGTTTTCTTTGGACAGAGTGTTTAATTTCTCTATGGTGTCCTCAGAGTCTGAGATTCTCTC